CATTCATTCTCTGTGGGGAGGCCGGTTCATCTACATTACCGGTTCCTCCTCTGCTTGAGGTCTTTTTCGTTTTGGAGGGGGTCGACCCCTCCACAAAGTCCAGTCCTTGGTCATTTCTTTCTTCGGAGGTTCCTTATGTCGACGTAACAGCCCTTGATGCGTTGTTTGCATTTGCCGTCTTCGTCGTTCCTCCTGGTCTTCCAGCCACTTGCTGGCACGAGACCCTGGCGCCAAGCCCTTTCTCCAGTATCCAAAGGTTCCCTGGGGAGTTTCCTTCTTGAAGTCATTTCTCCAATGTCGTGCCACTATCGCGCGACGGGATATCTTCCTACAGGTGGCAGCCAACTTCTTCTGGGGTCCACAACTTTCCCGTGTCGAATTCCTCTTATTTCGTCAATTTCGGTCCCTACGCCTTTTCTTCTTCGGTTCTCCGACCGGCATTACTTTGGCGTCTTTAACGGGTACCTCTTGTAGATCTGCCACCTCAGGTTTCCTGTGCACTGAGGCCGGCTTTTCATCTTCTGGACGTGCCTCCATTTCTTGGCAGGCCACCGTCTCTCCGACCGGTATTATTTCGGGGACCTCTTCTTCTTGTGCCGCGCTATCTTGGGTTCCTCTTATCTCCGCGGCAGTCTTTTCTCGCCAGGCAGCCATCTTGACTCTGATTGCTTCAATTTTATGTTGGAGTGTCTCATCAACTCTGATGGCATAGATCACATTTATGCCTTCATTTCTTCCTTGTCGGCCTACCTATCGGCCGTCACTTTTTCTTGTTTGGCATCTAATTTTGCCAGCATGATGTCTGCTTTTTCTTGGTTGGCCCTCATCTCTTTCAGCATATCCTCTTTGTCTTTCTTCCAATTTTCTTGCATGGCCTTCATTTCTTCCTGATGGGTTCGGAACATTTCTTGCAGCTGCACTCGGTCGGTTTCTGCTTTTTCTTGGCCAGCTCTGATTTCCTTGAGTAGCATTTCCATGTTCTTTTCGCGTGTATAAGTTTGTATCCCACTTCTGACACCAGTTGTAACGTGTTTCAGTTACTGATCTCATTGGTCACGTGTGTAAGTCCAAATCCCTCTTCTGACACCAAATGTAACGTGTTTCGTTGCAGCATTTACATTTACTTAAGACTATGATGCAACAAACAAACGCCATACTGCTTTGTTATGTAGAAGTAATACAGAGTTTCAGTAAAGAGATCATTGGTCCCCGAAATAAGACTTTTGTCCTGGACTGATTTTATCCCCAATTTGGTAAATAAGTTAATGCAATTTGAAAAGTGGGACTGGGATGGCTCAGTCAGTATAATGACTGGTTATGGTGTAACCGATCAATTGAGATTGATTGTAAAGTAGCCGAACTATAACACATTTGGAAATCAGTGAGCTATGTATGAGGCGGTGAAGGCTTTGATGGACTCAGCTTTGGTTTACTTTAACAACACTCTCAGTATGTCAAAATTATGTAGTGTCGAATGGTAGAATTGTTAGTGCTTAATTTATACATTCTATTGCATTGCACGACATTACACTAAAGAAACAGTATTTTTCATTGTCACCACAATGGTCACATTCATGTTAGTTGATGTTTACTTTCAACATATTTCAGGTTTTTAGAAGAAGTCACCAACGTATTTAAAATGGGATTTCTGATTCTACAGTTGGCTGCAGCTTGGTGTCTGACTTCGGGACTGTTCCAGGTTGGAATGGTAAGTATGACACGCATAACTCAAAATTATGTGAAATTCCTCAATACTGTGAAGAGCTAATGACTCTATGTCAGGACTACGTTTCATCCGTGCCAGGCCAGACCTTGTTGCGAGGGTTTTCTATCATTTTGATAGCTCTGTCAGTAAAGGGACTAGACTGCGGGCTGTAAACCGAGGAATCAGGATTCAATTCCTGGCGTGGGGCAGGAATTTTCTCTTCTGCACAGCGTCCAGACTAGCTCAATCTCCTGTCCAGTGGATATCACGGGCTCTTTTTTCCTTTGTAAAGCAGGTGGGGCGTGAAGCTGACCTTTCACCTCACATCTACTTCCGAGGTGTGGAATGCACCACTCCCATATGCGTCATCATAGCATGGGCCTTAATTAAGAGGGGTAACTTTACTTTTCCCTTTATATTTTTTGTCATCTTATGGCCAGCACACGATTCCAAAAACTTCTCCAATTCTTCCATGGAAGGCATTGCATGGCACTTTAGCCGCCTGCACCCACATGGCGAAATTGGCAGTAAGAAATCCACATGTCAACGTTGTTTTAGTGACGGTAGTTGCGTAGCATTGTCAGTAGATTAGGCATAACCGGTGCACCATATTTGCTGTAGGTGCAGCAACGAGGAGGTTAATAAGGCAAAAAAAAAGTGAAGTTGTCCCTGTGATTAAGTAATTAAGCACTATGCCATGAAGACATATCCGGAAGTCGAGGTATAGCTCTGCCATTCTTAACCTTGGCACTAGATGGAGGTGAGTGGTCACCTTCACACCACAGTCGCTTTGACCCTCGGGAAGTCGCCCCTGGTACCCATTGGATAAAAGCTGTATGGGCCCCTGCCATCTTTGAGCCGATTATCTAGACAATGTGGGACCCTCAACATCTCACAACCCTATTGGACTTCATGGCCTGGTACAGGGATAGCTTTACTTTTTTACTTTTTTTTATGGGCCCCAGAGTCGTTCTGGTCACTGTGGAGAAAAGAAAAATCTTGCCACGCTGGGAATCGAACCCTAGCCGTCAAGCCCATAGTACATCGCTGTACCAACTGCGTTATATCTGCTCATGAAAAGAGTAATAAAACACGCAAAACATTATCCTCTGAAAATTATATCTGATGGCATTCATTTATGTTGAGGGGTTGGCAAGCTGAGAGCCACCCCAAAGGAATTCTCAAGAATGGCTGTGCCCATCATAGCAAAAACATGAGAATTCAGAGTGGCACAAGCATGTCTTAGAGGTAACAATATTGTAACTTTAATGAACTGCATAGCTTTCTTGGGTTCCCACGACGTTGGCTATGAAGAGTTGTGGCTTTTGGCTTGTAGTGTTGTCTAGTTTGGAGCTGTTGGGAGAGAGCTCTATGTTTCAAAGGAACATGGTGCTGTCTTCAGGGCTGATGAGTAAACCGCGCAAGAAACTAGTAGAAGCAGGCGGCAAGTTGAGATCTCCTCAACTACAAGCTGTTGTAACTCAGAAGACCTGAGGCTACAGCTACGGTTAACAGCTATGCAGCTGATCACAATTTCTGCATGAATAGTCAGGGGAAAAATATTTGTCTTACAGTAAAGTGAATCTAGAAGAACTGTTCAGTGCACTGAATCAAGCAACTCATTTGACTTCAGCTAAGTTCAATCATTCCAAGATTCCCTTATGTGATTATGAAATCTGAAAATACTGCACAGCACCAAAACAATACAAATCACAAAAGAATTTAGAACAATGTAAAAAATCTGGTCTGTAGCTAAGTGGCTGCATGGAGTGGTTGGCAGTTGCTTATTTACCAAAAAAAATCTCTCCTTTTGAGCAACAGAGAGGTTCATTACCACATTCACAACAGCCTACCACTGGTCCCTATCAAGAGCCAAATTAATTGAGTTCACAATACCCCATTCTATTTCTTTAAAACCATTCTAATACCATCCTTTTATCTACAACTAGATAACCTAATCATGTTTCCAACCAAAATTCCTTATACAGCTCTCATCTTACCTACGTATGCTACCGGTATAGTGATGGGCTACGGGCTGGACGGCAGGGATTCGATTTCCAGAAGGGTAACGTACTATTCTTACAGCCTGGAAAACCACAGTTTTCATGGATGAAGGCCGTTTGAGGGCAAGGTGGCGAAGGGAATATTTGGTCTGATAAGGGAGAAAGTAAAAGAGGGCTGCAGAAATTTGCACAATTTGCACTACTTGCCATGTTTTATTAAGTCGATGAAGTGAAAGAGGAGGAGATAAGCGGGGCCTGTAGCACACATAGAAGCAAAGAGAAATTCATGCAAAATTCTGANCCGTTATTTGAAGATTGTTAAATAAACCAATTAACCATCTCTATGGCCTATTCAGTAAGGTAAACACGTTACAATATCAAAGAAATATGATGAGAGGATGTGGACTGTATTAAACTGGCTCAAGATAGGGAGTAGTGGTCAGCTGATTCACTGAGCAACTATTAGCTTTTAAAAAGGGTTCCCCTCCATGGAGTTCGTTAATTGATAAAATGAAATGTCAATTTACATGTATCTTGTTCCTCATTTTTAAATTCCTTAGTTTAGAGGTCAAATACAGAAACGAAAAATTCTGAATATAAATTCCATTATATTTTAATATCATTGTACCTTTGTTGACCGGTTCATGGCGACCAGTGCACTGCCAGCTGCGAGGCGCGTATGAATGTTGCCGAAGATTCAGCATGCTTGATGGCTGATAACGTTTGCAGTTAAGGGAAGTTATTAACTTGTGGACTGCTTGGTGTGTTCTAAGTGCAAGGACTGTTGGACCTTTGTTTTAAAGATACAATTAATTGCGAAAGATATGTACAGGTCATTCTCAGGCATATATTTCTAGAGTTAAAGAAGAAGAAAGACTTTGAGGCTGGTTTCAGCAAGACTCAGCTACTGCACACTGCACGTATGTCTATGCAGGCTTTGTCTGATGTGTTCAGGAACAGAATTATCAGCAGTGGTATTTGATTAGAATGTTCACCCGATCTTAATTCTTGTAATTTTTTTTTTATTATTCTGAGGTTGTTTGAAGACCAAAGTTGATGAGAGTAACCCCTGAACAGAAGAACTAATAGAAAATATTTTTATGTAAATCTCAAATATTCGTGCAGAACTGCTTCAAAGGTTAAATCAGAAACTCCTGTGCCGGTGTGAGGAATGTCTGCTTATAGAGACACAGCATTTTCAACTCCTGTGATCTGTGAATTGTAACCATTTCGTTTCGAACGTTATCGGCCAACAGGCAGATTGATTCATCAGAACAATCCATATGCGCCTCGCAGCTATCAATGCACCAGTTGCCGTGAACTGGTCAACAAAGATAAAAACCTCCCTGTATTTTCAGTTGCTTACCATACATTTGAAATAATCTATAAGATTTGTATTAATTTTAATTTTAGAATGTAGACGATCCCTCTGGGGTCTAATGGTCCTGGCTACAGATCCAGAGGTCCCGGGTTCGATTCCCGGCGCTACCACATTTTCTGAGAAGTAGTTCGTCTGGAACGGGGTCCACTCGTCTTTGTGAGAATAACTGAGGAGCTATTTCAAGGAAATAGCGGCTCCTGTCTAGCAAACCGAGTTTAATGGCCATGGGGATCCGTTGCGCTGACCACGCAACACCTTCTATCCGCTAAAGTTGGCACTAACTTCGCCGACAAGTGGCGGTCGCTCAGTCGGTATAGTTCTCTTGCGAACTACATGCCACTTTTTTTTTTCCAGAACATAGACTTCGCTACGTCTCTGAAGGGTGTCCTTCTTGCAACTTATGCATTTGGCATTGGTGGACTGGTTTGCTACTTTGGTGAAGGAATCAAAACACAGGTAAATATCAGGAATGTATAAGCCATTTTAAGGATAAGATACCTGGGACTTTCATTCCAGAAAAAAAAATTTGTTTGAAGAACACGAAGTCCCTCAGTGTAGACAGAACTGCTTTCTCTCCTTTTTTCTAATCGTCTTAAATCTTCTTCTGGCGGTAGACGCAGAATGCGTTATCCACACCTTGGCAAATTTGCATGCTTCGGTCAAGGTTAGGGTCAGCATCTATAATTTTTTGCTTCACGACTTCTACAGCTCGAAAGATATCTTCAAATTCGTTGAGAGTGAACTCCTTCACTTGCACATTATCTCATCCTTTGGCATCACATATATGCTTCTTAAAATGCTCTTGTTGATCTGAAAGTAGGAGATCATCATCAGTCAATTCTTCCAAGTTTGAACTGAGCCCTTCCCGAACATCGCCATTTTCTAGTCCGTCAAATCCAAGTTCATGTCGTTCAATCATGTCAAATTTTTGCTGTCATGTAATAACGAGCCTCTTCTTTTTTTGCGCTCGTAGTGTTTTTATCTGAAAGAATCTTCCTGTAGTTCATTTTGTTAAGGGTACTTTTTGAAGTTAAAAAAAATCACGAAAAGTAACATATATTACTGTAGGCAGCACACGTGCACACCCGAAGATAAACAAATACAGACTGAAGTGGCAGTATCGAAAACCTTAACTGTAAGTTTAACTGTGCATGCGTTAGACTCGCAATACCCGAATTTTGGTTTGCATTAAATGTGACCTGGTATCATTGTACAATTCACACTAAATTGAATTTGAACTCGCATTAATCGCAACTTAGCTCTACTAGAAACTTACTGTATTCTTGCCAGAACGATCACCAACATATTTTATTTATGTAGATGTAAATGGAACAGCCCACTACGTTTCTCTCTTTTCTTTCCCATCATCATCGGCAGAACAGCTCTTTTTAAGTCATAATCTTCCTTAGAAGATTCTGCCAGGCTTGACCATTCTTGGGAATTAGACCATCCAGCTTTCACTCCTTTGGATTTGGCAACAATAATTTTTTACAGAGTATGGTCATCAGCCCTACGTGCAACCCCCAACCGAGAGAACCAGACCTCTGTACGTATGTCCCCCAGTGTCAGAGTGGCCCAGTTATATCCCCAGGCACCAAGTACCCATTATAGTTAATATTTATATAAACTCTGTAAGTATGTGTATGTATACAAATAATTACTACTCTATTCCTCTTCACATTTATACATGCACAGAGCAATTCAGTATTAGAGTCAGCCTGCAATGTGCCCTGGTACAGCCACACCACCAAATTCAAGAAGATGGTGCAGATGATCATCATGCGAGCACAGCGTCCATGCGTATTTCTCATCGGCGGACTTTATCCGCTAACAATGGAACATTTTCAAAATGTGAGTCACACCTGGCTATAGCTAAGTAGATACTACATATATAAAAGATTATTTAAGAGCTTGCTGCAAATCTCTTGGATGGTCCAACGTTAGTTGCACACTGACACAACTAGGGGACTCATGGCAGTAGGAAGTAACACATATGTATAAACAGGGACAATTTCTGGCATCTACTGTGTTCTGGATAGATTTGGTTTCTGATTTATTAATCTCTGAGCTTTTACATTGAGTTGAGGGTTGGAACACACACATAAAGGGATAAACCAGTAGTGTGTGTCCTTGCTGCTGGACCAGCAGAAAGATTGTTGGCTGGCTCTGAAATAATCTCATTCATCAGTAATCTGTGAAGACGACAAGTCCACTGTCTCTTCCAAAACAGTTCCCCCACTTAATGCAATCTAGAGCTTTCTGCTTCAAATGAGAATATCCTCTTCCATCCCTAAGGTCATCCAGCATCTTCTTACGTCTTCTTCCTCATCTTCTGGTCACTTCTATCCGCCCCTCTATCTTTCCTTCAATAACTTCTTTTAGAAGGCAGTAACTGCGTAAGATATGACCAATCCAATTAGCCTTCCAT